CACCCCCTCCACCCCAGGTAGGTCCTTCAAACCCCGCCCACACCCCCGAGACCCCACCCCTTTCTCCATGACCTCACCGATGACATCATCACCTCCTCCCAGCAGTGACCGCCAAGGTCTACCCGCCCACCGTCGAGGTCTTCCAGACCTGTGGTGACCATGGATTGGTGGAGCTCCTCTGCCTGGTCGGTGGCTTCGCCCCGCCCACCCTCAGCCTCACCTGGTTGGTGGATGGGATCCCCCTGGTGGGCCACGCCCACACCGAGAAGGCCACGCCCGACCAGGCCCCAGGGACCTTCCGGGTGACCTCGCGCCTCAACGTCACCACGGCCGAGTGGAGGGAGCAGAGCATCTCCTGCCAGGTGGAGCACGCGGCTTCCGGAAGCTTCCAGGAGGTGACGGCGCGCAGCTGTTCTGGTGAGGAGGGGTCTTCAGGGTCCTAAAATGACCAAAATTTGGGGTTTGGGGCCTTCAAAGTTCTTGAGAACTTCAGTTTGACCAAATTTTGGGGTTTTGGGGCCTTCAAGGTCCTAAAATCACCAAAATTTGGGGTTTGGGGCCTTCAAAGTTCTTGAGAACTTCAGTTTGACCAAAATTTTGGGGTTTGGGATCCTCAAGAACCTGAATTTGACCAAATTTTGGGGTTTGGGGTCTTCAAGGTCCTAAAATGACCAAATTTTGGGGTTTGGGGCCTTCATAGTTCTTCATTTGACCAAAATTTGGGGTTTGGGGTCTTCAAAGTTCTTGAGAACTTCAGTTTGACCAAAATTTTGGGGTTTTGGGGTCTTCAAAGTTCTTGAGAACTTCAGTTTGACCAAATTTTGAGGTTTTGGGGCCTTCAAGGTCCTAAAATGACCAAATTTTGGGGTTTGGAGCCTTCATAGTTCTTCATTTGACCAAATTTTGGGGTTTGGGGTCTTCAAAGTTCTTGAGAACTTCAGTTTGACCAAATTTTGGGGTTTTGGGGTCTTCAAGGTCCTGAAATTGAGCAAAATTTTGGGTTTGGGTTCTCCAACAGACCCAAACCCAACTCCAACCCCACTTTTGGGTTCTCCAAGACCCCGAATCCAACCCAAACTCAACTTTTGGGTTCTCCAAGACCCCAAACCCAACTCCAACCCAAATTTTGGAGTCTCCAAGACCTCAACTCAAGTTCTGAGGTTCTCCAAGACCCCAAACCCAAACCCAACCTTGAATTTCGGGTTCTCCAAGACCCCAAACCCAACTCCAACCCAACTTTTGGGTTCTCCCATGGTTCCAACCTCAAATTTTGGGTTCTCCAAGACCCCGAATCCAACCCAACCTCGAATTTTGGGTTCTCCAAGACCCCAAACTCAACCCAACCTCGAATTTTGGCTTCTCCAACCTCTCCAACCCCACTCAACTTCAAATTTTGGGTTCTCCAAGACCCCGAATCCAACCCAAACTCAACTTTTGAGGTTCTCCAAGACCCCGAATCCAACCCAAACTCAACTTTTGAGGTTCTCCAAGACCCCGAATCCAACCCAAACCCAAATTTTGGGTTCTCCAAGACCCCGAATCCAACCCAAACTCAACTTTTGAGGTTCTCCAAGACCCCAAACCCAACCCAAACTCAACTTTTGAGGTTCTCCAAGACCCCAAACCCAACCCAAACTCAACTTTTGAGGTTCTCCAAGACCT